AAAATTATAAAAAGAAACAAAATCTTCACCTTTTTTTTCTTATATTGATGGTTAAAAGTGTCAAGGATCGTGCTTCACGAAATTTATTTCTGACATTTGTCTTACTCGTTATTTCTCTTTTCTTTGGAATTTAGCCGCATATTTACTTTTTTATTTCCACCTTAATATCTTTGCAGATATTCTACAGTTGTCTGTCTGTTCACATAATTCAAGCTTCTACTTGTTGTCTGGTGGATTCAGCCAAGAGCATCTCTGAGTGTAGACCTGCAGAACTGCATATTAGTATCTGGATACTACTGGACACTTAAACTGCAACATTTGATGTAGTTCAGAATAACCTTTTTATATTTGGTTTTATAGTTTGCAATGAGTACTTTTAAAGTGTGTTTTCCTTTTGCAGCTCTATTCTAGGATTATAGTGGAAAGGCATTCATGTTTAAATTCATATTTGGTAAAATTCACAGAGTTCAGTCACACGCATGTTCTTTTCCTTTAGTTTACTAACACGCATCTGTACGAGTGTGTATTTCCTGCGTTCCTAAATCATTAACCCCCAATAATCCTTTGAGTTCATTTTTGAAGAATGTGTGTAGCACGATGCAGACCAGTCCTGTCTAATTGCAGCTAATGCTGGGACATTCACCTACTCACCCACTGATATGAAATTCAGCTTCCCCCTCCCATCTGAAGTCAATATAAAGCTCTTGAGGACAAAAGTGACCTTTATCAGGGAGTAAGAGCAGAATGCAAATGCCCCAATGTCTCACGTTCCTGCTCAGGGTTGTTAATACACTTCAGAGGATATCGACTGGGTTTTATTGCCCATAAAAACATGTTACAGGTTATTTGTTTGTTTTGTGTTAACCAGTCTTACTTTTTTTAAACTTTAAAATTATACTTGTGAATGTACTGAATTGAAACAAAAACTAATATCCACAAAATGTAGACAAAAACAAAATGTGAAACATAGGAAAAGCTTAGTCATGCTTACCAAAAGGCAGAATTGCAAGTTTTTCAAATCAGCATTCTGATCATCTGTTTCACAGCATTGATAAAACTACTATAAATTTTGTGTTTTTAAATTGCTGCTTGAACAACTCAACATCTTAACGAACATCCTAGGTACCAGTAAAATGTATTTTTCTTAGCATTGACCTTTTATTATTTTTAATTGGCGCTCGAGGAAAATTATGGTGTTAATTTCTGACAACAAAGTAATTAAAACTTCAGGTTAAACTATCATTTTTATAATACACCCATCAAACGACAGACGTATAATGTCTTCGCCCTTCAGTCTGTAATTCCATAAGCGGTCTCGTCCCACCCATAACTTCTGATCTGCTCAAGATAATTTAACGAAACTTGATACAATTCACCGCTAGACGGAGTGTCACATAATCTTTTCATCACCAAATCATCAAGCTCAAGGTCAAATGTTATACAAGGTCTTTGCTTGTCTGGGCCATTACTGTAAAGCTTTATTATAGTTCGTTCAGTGGGTGTATACTGTTATGTATACGGTACACTTATCACTCATAAAATAAATTACGGTTCTAAAGATCTTTCTAAAAGACTTCTAATAGAAATTATATGATTTTTTTTTTTTTTCCCATATCTTTAAATAACCAGTCTTTTCCATACTACTCAGGCTGTTGAAAGCTGCACCGTAAAGTTAAACTGTTTGATTCTTATAATTTCCTTCAGAAAGGTCTGTTGGCTTTTCCACAACGTTTTTATGCCATTCAAAAACGCATGTAGGAGTAAATATTTAGAGATGTATAAAACATTTCCGCAAATTATTTTCTGTTAGACATTTCAGTCAGGTGAAAAATGTATTAGCAAGGGGAAAAAAATAATAGTTTATTTGGACTATGACGCACTTCTTCACTCTAATAACTCTTAAGAAATACTAAATGTCAAACTGTTGTCATGCGTTTAGTTTGTTTCCAGTTTGTTGTGTGTGTGCAGAAATGTGAAGTCTGAGTCATTGTTTTGACTCACTTTGCCAATTTAGACACGGAAATTTATGACAGCAACTGTCAATTGACTGAGCACACCAGGCTGGTGTTATTACAACTTCTCTGCACCACTCAACACTTTAATAAAGTTATACTGTCATGTTTGTTTCTAGATGTTGCGCGCTGTTCTGATTTTTCTCCCAAGCTTTTTCTTTATGTATGCATGTTTGTGTTCAGTGCCCTGAGATGACTTCTATTGTGACTTGGCGCTATATGAATAAACTGAATTGAATTGAATTGAATTCATAACTGGGAACCTAAACTCCAGGTTTGTTCTGCTTTTTGTGGTAACAGTTGCTGTGGTCCACCAGATGGACCTTGTGGTACTTTTGCTCCTTGTCTGTGGCCTTGTCTGTTTGAGCGGCAGTGATGGACTTGTTCGTCAGGCACCTAGCCAGTGCCGAGTCTGAAGCTGTTGCCAAGGTCGAAAATAAAAACGGACGTCTTATGAATGCTTATTGAAAACACTTGGGCACGGCGTAGCGGTTGTTAATTTGTACTCGTTGTTCTTACTTAACGTTTTATGTTTTTGTAGTGCTAATTAAAGATGCAGTTATCTAGAAACATACATTTATTTCTATTTTTGCTCTTAGTGATAGCGTATTCAAGTTGCAATTACATGAGATGTGTGCTTTAAATAACCCCCTTTTCAAAAGGTGCCACATTTTCTGAAATTTCAGTGAAATGTTTGCCGTCTGCTATAGTAAAAACAAATATAACAACTTTAAAGTACTTATGCCCTCTTGTAACAGCCTGCCTTCAGAACTCTCATTTTGCAGCTAATTTTAATTGCTGTAGTTTGTACCCCCTCACAGTATTTCAGTTGGAAATAGATTTTTAGAGGTTGATGAATACATGCAGGTTAACCTGGCCTCTGAAGAACATTCAGCATTAACTTCACATTTTACCATAGCACACAAAAAAACCAGACAAACAATTTTTGGACTGTTGAGAACAAACACTTTTACTCTCAAGCACTTAAACTTTCCTTTATTTGCTGTGCAGCCATTGATGGTTGTGATCAGTTTTTTAAAACACATTTTTGTTAATTGCACATTACCGTGATCAGTTCAGTTCCTAAAACCTCTACAGATACAAACTCAGACCAAATTTTGGTCTGGTTGTAATTTTTCTTTCACACATGAGCTCCACAAAGCTAGCTCTTCATTGTACTTTCATTCATACACAGACACATTTTTAACTGCCTGCAATGTTTTTCTTTATCGACAGCTTCTATTAACAATGTACAGTATTCAGTGATAAAATAAGAAGATAACAATAGTAAAGGATTTAAAAAAGTTCAAGATAAAAACAACTGGACTTTATTTGTAACAGAAGCCGTTTCATAAAGGAAGCAATTTATGTGAAAAGAGAGAAACCATATGTAAACAGAGGAGGAATGTCTCAGGTTTTGACTTTCAAAAACTTATAATGCAGCTTTAGGACTGATACCCAGTCGGTTTTCACACCTATCAGATGTGACCAGAGGGACCACGTCTGTGAATTAGATTAACAAAGACCATAACAAACCCCTACTGTAAGGTGTGATAGGTCAATCTGCATGTGTATGCATGTAGCTTATCTCAGCTTTATAACCTGAACCCCCACACTCTCTGCTCTTTGAACTGAGAAAGCTTCTCGGATGAGAAGCGAAACGTCTTCTGTTACAAATAATGTCCAGTTGTTTTGTTTTGAACTTTTTTGAATTTACCATGTCCTGGATGACTGAGAATCTTCACCAGCGAATTGTAAAGGAGTTCCATCTTCTGGCTACAAAAAATGTTAGTAGTTAAGGCAAAAAACACTAAACCAGGTTCTGGTAAAACAACATTTGACCATTTGTGTCAAAAATTAGGTAAAATATAAATTATGAATTAAAACTTACTGCAAAGCAAAAAAATGTATCAAAGTGGACTTCTCAGTGGAAGTGAATACAAAAGATTATAAGGTACAGTAGTCCCTCACTTATGTTCCAGTCACCCCCGCGATAGGTGAAATTCTGCGAAGTAGGGAAATTATATTTATTTTAGTATTTATTTTTAAATTTTATAAACCCCACACTCTTGCAATGTTCTTAACAATGTTCTAGACACTCTAAAAGAGCACAGCGAAAGTGAACAGACAGCACCTGGGGCGGATTGGCCATCGGGAGCACTGGTTCGGTTCGGGTCGGCTCGGTTCGGGTCCGCTCAGTTCAAGTCGCGCTTGATTATTTTAAATAATCAATCTGTGTCGCTCACTCTGGTATCCGCTTCACTGAAGCTCCCACAGCAGTGATGGGGAAAGACAGACCCCACCCCCCGTCCCCTCGGCGATCACTGATCAGCTAGGTCACCGGGACACAATGTGTACAATCTTAAGTTGAAAAAACCCGCCAAACCTCTGCGAAAGTGGAACCGTGAAGTATCGAGGGACTACTGTAAGGGTATTATGAATTAGAGTAATAGCATTACTTTTTTCTTTAATTGCTAGCTTAATGAAAAATCTTTTCAACCCTGGGGCCCAACAAGTATTGAGCATGTATTTTTCTGTTTGTAGTGAAACCTGCAAAGCAAATACATTTGTTTTCCTATATATATTTTTTAACACCTTTTTTAGAATGTATGCTTTTTATATCTTAAGTGGAAGGATTTGAATTACAAGTCCTAAATCTTTAAAAGCCTCTTTCAAGGGACCATACATGGTTGGAATAATGATCCAAAAGCTGCTTTCTGAAAATGTATTAAAACATATTCAATTAAATTATTGGTTGAAAGTTTATTAAATGAACATTTAAAAGTCTGGTGGATTTTAGGTGTTTGATGTACATTTTTAATTGCATGCTTCTGTGAACCCACAACACATGACCAAATAAGCAGATATTTGGAATAATGTTGTCTTATGTCTAGGAAATTATGGGAGAATAGTAAAATTATACAGTGCCTGTTTTATTGTGCTATAGTAGAGTTATATAATAGTTGTTTTTTTGCTATTTTTTTCTAGGGTCAGCCTGTTGGTCAGTGTGATTTCAATATCCGACTGGTGTGCATAGAAAAGGAAATAATTTCGCCTCGGATGGAAAAGATGAAGCTGGGACAGATCGACAAAACCAAGGAGCCCTTCAGTGTCCGAAATAAGCCTTTCTTTGACATTCATGCATCGCGCAAGGTAAAGTGCCCTCAGATGTTCTTTACGCTTTCCAGTCTAATTCCCTGCCCTTTATTTTGGGCAGATGTGACCCAGTCTTTACACGTCATTTCTTCACATTTTGTAGTCTCAAATGTAGTCTGTCAGTAGTATCGCGGTTATTTCCTTCAGAGTTGTTTTCTGTGGTAACAGTTCTTCAAGGACAAATTGGTCCCAAGAGAAGGTCAATAGGAAGAGCAGCTGAAACACTTTTATGCACCTTTATTTTATGGAAAGGACAATCTTGAGGGAGTACAGGAGAGGGAGGAAGGACGCTCACAAATGAGTGTCTGATTCTTAGACTGTTACCCACTGGGACCCATCAGGCGGAGTCTCAAGATGCCGTGATTGGTAGCCTGTATTACACCACGCACACGCTTGTGTTAGCCTTTTTTTGTGTGACCTTGCAGTAATAGAAGACCCATTTCTATTGATTCTTACTAAAAATACGTTTTCTTGCTTATTGCAAGCTGTAGATCTCTCCTTTTTTGTTTTGTTGGTGTCATAAAAAGAAGATCATGGCTGAGCTTACAGTACTGCACAGTTCAGTGCAGCTTTAATCGCCTGAGTGACTGCTTAGCTCTCTTCAAACGTTTGCACTCGTGCCCTTATCTCAGGTCTGTGGGAGGTCAGAGCACAATTAATAGTGTGTTTGGCTCAGGCAAAGATCAGTTGGACATCTTGGCACTCCCTGCTCACAGATCAAACTGCAAGGAGGGGGTGATGTTTAGACATTTCTTTGAATTTTCTCACATCTCCCTCTTCCAGCGTTAGTATCTTGGTGTTTTTGTTTTTTGTTCTTTGTCAAATGAATGATCTTGCCTCCTCTGGTCTAACCCTATGCTATCCACATTTCAAAGAACCATTATGAAGTATCGCCCCTGCTGAATTTTGGGTTCATGTTGATCAAGATATTCTGGAAATGAAGTCATTGGAATAGAGTCTGGGTTCTGACTGCCCTATTGTGTTGCTCAGAGGCCATCTGCTCTCTATACAGTCCTATCTCTGTTGTATGGGACATTAACTGAGGGAAACTGGAATCTGGCTCATTAATTCATCTCAGCACAACCCTCTGCTTCATGGCATATCAGCCAGAAATTCCTACTAAGAATATTTCAGTCACACGGGAGATGTATGATGGCTTTTGTTTGTTGCTAAGCTGCTGTTTGTCATCTCAGCCACTTACACATTTATGCTGCCATTTTCCCACCAATTGGAGACATTTTTTTCCTTTTTACTTCCTTCACTTATCCACTTATCTTACAAAGAACAGTTTTTGTTTGGCAGACTTGTACATCAGAATAAATACATAGCATATGTGGGGAAGTTCCCTTTCTTATGAATTGAAAATGATTGGGCTTTTCTGAGCTCGCTGAGCTTCTTTGCAGGTAATTTGATGTAGCATCTATAATTTATAAATTACCGGTACAAACAAAATCGTTTTTTATTTCATATGTTTTTTGTTTGTGGTTATGAATTTAAATACAAACTTGCTTTTTACACACATTTTAAAAAGATACAAGAAATACACTTAAAGCGATAGTTCAGCTCTTTTTAACTCAATCTTTGTGGAAATACATTGGTGTGAATTTAATTTGAACATATTTAAAAAGGAATTAATATTGAATGAAAAATAAACAAAGGGATTTACATTGACCACGTCTATGAAACACCATAAATTCCAACACCAGAATAACAATTTTTTTTGCTGTTCAATAAAAGAGTGGTAGGAAGCAAATGCCTATTATTCCATAACCCATTTAACTCTTTATATCACTAAGTACAATTATTTAGTACATATTGTACCTTACAGTGTGTCATCTGGATATGCACTCATTGACAGTGTTGCATTTTAAGTTTTTAACTCCATGTAATTTCCATCTGCTGCTTTATGTGTTAATTTGATGTAAGGCTGCGTTCGCACTGCAGGTCATAATGCACGACCCCATTTTGTTTTGGTGCTCACATCCAAATTAATTTTTTATATTTTTTGTGTGGACTTTAAAATTATAATTAAGCTGCGACCTCAATCAGACTCCAGTGTGAACCTTTTACAGTTCTGAGGCGACCAACATGTACAGAAGATAATGTGACATCAAACACACCATGCTGAGTTTAGGGAAGGAAACATGGATGGTGCACATCTTAGCATGTGTGATTTTGAAGTTGCTGTGCCTTCAGAACCGATTAAATTATCGGACATGTTTGTTTAATGCAGAGCTTCTCAATTATTTTCTGTTACGCCACCCCCCCCCCCT